AGGGAAATCCAAATCAAAACCACACTGAGATACCACCTTACACCAGTTAGAATGGCCAAAATGGACAGGGAAAGAAACAACAAATGTTGGAGAGGTTGTGGAGAAAGGGGAACCCTCTTACACTGTTGGTGGGAATGCAAATTGGTACAGCCACTTTGGAAAACAGTGTGAGGTTCCTCAAAAATTTAAAAATAGAGCTACCCTATGACCCAACAATTGCACTACTGGGTATTTACCCCAAAGACACAGATGTAGTGAAAAGAAGGGCCATAGCACCCCAATGTTCATAGCAGCAATGTCTGCAATAGCCAAACTGTGGAAAGAGCCGAGATGCCCTTCAACAGATGAATGGATAAAGAAAATGTGGTCCATATATACAATGGAATATTACTCAGCCATCAGAAAAGATGAATACCCAACTTTTACATCAACATGGATGGGACTGGAAGAGAATATGCTAAGTGAAATAAGTCAAGCAGAGAAAGTCAATTATCATATGGTTTCACTTATTTGTGGAACATAAGGAATAACATGGAGGACATTAAGAGAAGGAAGGGAAAAATGGGCAGGGGGAATTGGAGGGAGAGATGAACCATGAGAGACTACGGACCTGAGAAACAAACAGGGTTCTAGAGGGGAGCGGGGAGGGGGGATTGGTCAGCCCGGTGATGGGTATTAAGGAGGGCATGTACTGCATGGAGCACTGGGTGTTATACGAAAACAATGGATCGTGGATCACTACATCAAAAACTAATGATGTATTGTATGGTGACTAACATAATAAAATTTAAAAAAAAACAAAAACAAAAAACGCTAGACACAGAGGTATCAGCTAGCCCGGAAGTTCTGCTCCTCAGTTTCTACCCAACAGAAATGAAAACACAGAAACTTTGTATATAAATGGGTATCGCAGCATTCCTGGTCATCCCTCTAAGTGGAAGCAAGCCAAGTGCCCACCTACTGATGAGTTGGTAGTCTGTGCTCTATCCACGCAGTGGAATCCAACAATAACATAGAACAAATTTCAGAAACATGCTACCATGTGGATGAACGTGGAAAGTACATGAAATGAAAGAAGCAGTCACAAAATATCACCTATTGTACGATGCCCTCTGTCTCAAGTGCCCAGGGGCAGATCTATAGAGAGAAAGTAAATTAGTGTTTGCCTGGAGCAGGAGTGTGCAGGCAACATGGAGGGTGAACCCCAAGGTACAGGGTCTCTGTTGGGGGTGATGAAATTGTTCTAAATTTCGATTTGAGATGGATATACTAAATATACTAAAATATATTATATATAAAAATATATATGTAAAATATGTAAAATAAAATATACTAAAATAGCATATACTGAATATACTAAAAACCAAGGAATTGTAAACTTTAACTGGTGAATTCTATGGCATATGAATTCTCTCTCTCTCTCCATATGCCTACCATATATTTAAAGAATCAGCACTCGATTCTGAATGATTCTCAGGACCACTTTACCATTGACATCAAGTTTGTGAGTGTTCAAATATCACTGAGAAGCTCACGTTGGCCTGGCACCGAAACAAACTCCAGATGCACTAAAGAGTTGATGGGAACCATGGAACCATGACAATTTGGAAGACAATCCGGGTCCTCGCTGGGCGCCTGGACGGGAGGCGGAGACGCCGCAGAGCGACAGGTTTGACCACACCATTTTAGCAAAGGAAATTCAGGGACAGACAACAGAACAGAGAAACCATGGGACCCAAGTCGGGTCAGACGTTACATCCCTGATGTATTCAGAGCTCTCACCTATCACCCCCAGGACGCTAAGCCCCACGAGAAACAGCGCCGTGTACACTCACAGGCATCTGATGGCACAGTAGGGATGAAAGGCTTGCAGACCGAATGCTAGTGAGATGTATTCTCACCTAACAAATCAGGCAAGATGGAGATGTGGAAGCAGAAAGGCCATGAGACCCACATCCTGGTCCCCAGGGCATGACGTGTCAATGAGTTTCAGCTTCTCCAAGCACAAAACACTCATGTCCTTTGAGCAAGAGTCTGCTTCTGGCATTTTCTCCCAAGGAGAGAATGAGAGAGGTTGTAAGGGATTTGCAACACTGTTCACAGAGGCTTTATTTAGGACGGCAAGGCCTTACACCCATGTCCGTGCCAGTATCTCCCGCCCAGGTGAAACAGGAGGGGGAACCCCAAGGGTGGTTTCCGAAGGTTCCCTGCCACCTGGACCCAGCCCACATCTGGTACCATATAATAAAATCTAAAAAAAAAAATTCCAAACACATTTTTCACAGACATAAGGCAAAGAATCTTTAATATTTGTATGGAACCACAAAAGACTCTGAATAGCAATCTTTTTTTTTTTTTATGTTATGTTAGTCACCATACAATACATCATTAGTTTTTGATGTAGTGATCCACGATCCACTGTTTTCGTATAACACCGAGTGCTCCATGCAGTACGTGCCCTCCTTAATACCCATCACTGGGCTAACCAATCCCCCCTCCCCTCTAAAACCCTCAGTTTGTTTCTTAGAGTCCATAGTCTGTCATGGTTCATCTCTCCCTCTGATTCCCCCCCCCTTCATTTTTCCCTTCCTTCTCCTAATGTCCTCCATGCTATTCCTTATGTTCCACAAATAAGTGAAACCGTATAATTGACTTTCTCTGCTTGACTTATTTCACTTAGCATAATCTCCTCCAGTCCCATCCATGTGGATGTAAAAGTTGGGTATTCATCCTTTCTGATGGCTGAGTAATATTCCATTGTATATATGGACCACATCTTCTTTATCCATCTGTTGAAGAGTATCTCGGCTCTTTCCACAGTTTTAGCCAAAGCAATCTTTTTTTTTTTTAAAGATTTTATTTATTTGAGGGAGAGAGAATGAAAGAGAGAGCACATGAGAGGGGGGAGGGTCAGAGGGAGAAGCAGACTCCCTGCCGAGCAGGGAGCCCAATGAGGGACTCGATCCAGGGACTCCAGGATCATGACCTGAGCCAAAGGCAGTCGCTTAACCAACTGAGCCACCCAGGCGCCCCTTAGCCAAAGCAATCTTAAAAACAAAGCTGGAGGCATCAGACTCCCCGGTCTCAAACTCTATTATAAAGCTATAGTGATCACTGGCATACTGGCATAAACACAGACACACAGATCCCCAGCCCAGAAGAAAGAGCCCAGACGGAAACCCACACCTCTATGGTCCAGTACCTTATGACCAAGGAGCCAAGAAAATACAAGGAGGAAAGAACAGTCTCTTTAATCAAGGGTGCTGGGAAAACTGGAGAGCCCCATGCAAAAGAATGAAACTGCACCACTATCTTACATTATACACAAAAATTAACTCCAAATGCATTCAAGACTTGAATATAGGACGTGAAACCCTAAAACTCTTAGCAGAAAACATATGGGAAAAGCTGCTCGACATAGGTCCTGGTAGTGATTTCTGTCGCTCATACTCCAAAAGCAAAAATAAGTAAGCACATCTACATCAAACTCAAAAGCTCCTGCACAGCAAAGAAAATCACCAAAAAAATAAATGGGCAACCTACCGCCTGGGAGAAAAGATTTGCAGATCAAAAGATCTGATAAAAGGTTAATATCCAGTATATAAAAAGAACTCCTAAAACTCAGTAACAACAAGAAAAAACAAACTGTGGCTAAAAAGTGGAAGGATTGTCCAAATGGACATTATCCAGAAAAGACATCCAGAGAGCCAACAGGTACATGAAAAGATGCTCAACATCATTAATCATCAGGGAAATGCAAATATAAACAACAATGGGATACCACCTCACACTGGTTAGAAGGGTTAGTATAAAAAAGACAAGAAATAGGGCGCCTGGGTGGCTCAGTCGTTAAGCGTCTGCCTTCGGCTCAGGTCATGATCCCAGGGTCCTGGGATCGAGTCCCACATCAGGCTCTCTGCTTGGCAGGAAGCCTGCTTCTCCCTCTCCCACTCCCCTTGCTTGTGTTCCTGCTCTCGCTATCTCTCTCTCTGTCAAATAAATAAATAAAAAAAATCTTTAAAAAAAAAAAAAAAAGACAAGAAATAACAAATGTTAGCAAAGATGTGGGGGAACAGAAACCCTGGTACACTGTTCGTGGGAATGTAAGTAGGTGCATCCACTGTGGAAAATAGTATGCAGGCTCCTCAAAACATTAAAACTAGAACAACCCTACAATCCAGCAATTTCTCTTCTGGCCATTTATCCAAAGAAAACAAAAACACCTATTTGAAAAGATATCTGAACCCCCATGCTCACTGCAGCATTATTCCTAACAGCTAAGATAGGAGGACAACCTACGTGTCCATGGAGGGATGAATCGATAAGGAAGATGTGGTGTATGTAGACACTGCAATACTCTTTAGCCATAACAAAAAACGAAATCTTTCTTTTTTGCAACAACATGGTTGGACCCTGAGGGCACAAAGCTAAGTGAAAGAAGTCAAAGACAAATACTCTATGACATCACTTTTATATGGAATCTAAGAAACAAAAAAACTGAGCTTAAAGATACAGCGATCAGATTGGTGATTGACGGGCAGGGGGATGAGAGTGAAATGGGTGTCAGGAGTCAAAAGGTACAAACTTACAGGTATAAAATAAGTAAGTCACAGGATGTAACGTACAACATGGCAACTATAGTTAATAACACTGTACTGCAAGCTTCAGTGATCCTAAGGAAAAGGTCTTGTAAAACAATCCAAGACAAAACTGGATTTAAACAGATAAGCCATACACCATTGTTCAGGGGACTCAGAAAGTGCAGGGACCTGCCAAAATCTGTATGGGAAGCTGCCCTCCTGCTCCTCGCAGAGGCTAAAGGAGAGCTTTGTACACTGGTGAGTGCGTGCACAGAACAGCATGTAAAGTGCTGGGCTCCTCTCTACCCAGAGCAGTGGGCACTGCATCCCGCTTAGGGGTACAGGAAGAAGCAGGGAGTTGCTGGGAGATGCTGAAGAAGTTGAGGAAGAACAATGCAGGGTGTATGGAAAGTACCTTACCGGTTTTCCAAATCCCTGGGCATGTTCCATCGTGTAGGTGTCTTTTGAGATGCTACCAAAGGTCGCCGCTGCGGTCTACTCAGGCTCTTGCGGCTGGGCAGCCAACTTCTTTAACTCACTGGCAACCTCTGAGTCATCACTGTCTCTTGACTGTCATTCTAGGGGGAGAGGAGCACATAAAATGGGTCTCATTTCTCTCAGTTGGGATGGTCTGTCAGCTCTTGATCTGAATCACTAACCACCACCGTTACATCTGTGCCCATAAAGCACTGCGAGTGAATAAAGACTACGGCGGTAACAGAAATAGAGAATACTTATCCCTCTGAATTCCTCTGGGTTAGGCCCTATTCTAAGCTGTAAGGTGCAGAGTCAAGCAGAGAGGCATGAGGGTTTCGGATACGCCCCAATCATGGAGAGGTTGGAAGCACAGGGTTTGGAGCTGCAAAGACAAGGGCTTGAAATCTGGTTCCAAGCATTATCTGCGTCTCTAAGACTCAGAGGCCTATCAGGATCCTAGCCCACGGAGATGTGCAAACTGATAAAGGGTGTAGAATGCTTAGGCCAGTGCCAGGCACAGAGCAGCTCCTCAGTTAACTCACGATGATAATCATGAGGGTGACAATCACGTTGGTGTTCCTTCCCCGGTGCGTGTGATAACAATAACCAATACTTCTATGATATTAATCCCAAACGCTGGTACTGTGCTTATCCCGTGCCAGGAACTGGGGTTTACATTGACACTGGAAATGGGTTCCATTTACTAATTCATTAAATCCTCAAAACAACCCTATATAGGTACTATTTGCAGGTCCATCTCTCAGATGAGAATTTTGAGGCACGGAGATTACCTATCTTGCTCAAGGTCACGCAGCTGGAAGTGCCATAAGAGGAATGACAACCTGTACCATGAACCGGTATAGACAAAGCCCGTTACCTACGTTAAATCTGCACCATAACCCTAAGGTTTTGCTGTTCTGCCCACTTTACAGATGGAGAGACTGAAGCTCAGGCCCAGGGCGGAGGCCGAACTCACCTGGCCTCCCCGATGGGAGGAAGCAGGACTTGGCACTCCGCCTCAGGCTCGGCCTCCGGGTCCTGGGCTGCCCCCTCCGTCCCCTGCGGACGCCGCATTGCAGAGCACCTCCTCCTGGAAGCCACAGCTTGCCAGGGTTCCAAGGACGCCGCTGCCGCCGCTGCCCCCACTGATGCACAGTGAACTCGCTGCCGATGCTGCCGCCGCAGCCCCCACTGCCGCCCACGGCCGCGACTAGCGCCCCTCGCTGCTGCTGCTCCTGCCGCCCGCTGCCGCCCGCAGCCTCGGCCTCCGCCGCCCCCTAACGCCGCACCTACCGCCACTGCCGCCTGCTGACGCCCGCCGCCGCCGCCGCCGCTTCCTGCCGCCCCTGCCCGCCCCGGCCGCCTGCCGCCTGCCTGCAGCACCCGCCTGCCGCCGCCCAAGGCGGACGCTCCACCGACTGAGCCACCCAGGCTCCCCTCTGCCTTTTAGATAGTGTGGTTAGTCCACGGACTTTAATTATTGGAATGGCTTGCTTCGTGTCTACTTTCTATTTGTTACGTCTTTGTCCCTTGCTCCTTTGCTTCACCTTTTATACCTTCTTTTGGATTAATCAAGTAATTTTTAGGACTCAATTTTATCTCATTTGTTGGTTTTTTAAGTATACCTCTTGTGTGGCTTTTTTTTTTTTTTTAGCAATTGTATTATCATATGCATTTTTAGTTTATCACAATACCTTAAATTAATATTATACTACTTTACAGAAAACAAACTTATATTACAGTGTAATTCCATTTACTCCCCTTTGTGCTATTATTGCCATTTATTTTATTTCTTCATATGTTATAAGCCCTATAATACTTTATTATGTTTTTGCCTTAAACAATTTATAGATTTTTTTTTTTAAGATTTTATTTATTTGGGCGCCTGGGTGGCTCAGTTGGTTAAGCAACTGCCTTCAGCTCAGGTCATGATCCCAGGGTCCTGGGATCGAGTCCCGCATCGGGCTCCCTGCTCTGCGGGGAGCGTGCTTCTCCCTCTCCCACTCCCCCTGCTTGTGTTCCCTCTCTCGCTGTGTCTCTCTCTGTCAAATAAATAAATAAAATCTTTAAAAAAAAAAAAAGATTTTATTTATTCATTTGACAGAGAGTGAAAGCGAGAGAGATCACAAAAGGAGAGGAAGAAGCAGACCCGCCTCTGGGCAGAGAGCCGATGCAGGACTCGAACCCAGGACCCTGGGATCAGGACCTGAGCCGAAGGCAGGTGCTTAACTGACTGAGCCACCCAGGCGCCCCCTAGATTTTAAAAAACTTAAGAAGTATAGTATTTGGCATGTACTCACAAGTTTACCCTTTAGTAATGTCCATTCCTTCCTGAAGACCTGGATTTTTATCTGAGATAATTTTCCTTCAGCCAAAGAAATTCATTGGCATCTGAATATTGCTTTTAATGAATTCTCTCAGGTTTTGATTTTCTGAAATATCTCAATATGTATTGCTTTTCACTTTTAAATATGTTTTGGTGAACACAGGACTCTTGGTTGAGGGGTTTATTTTTATAGCACTGAAGATTGAATCGTCTTCCTGGCTGCCATTGTTTCTGATGAGAAGTCATCTGTAATTCTTTTTACTATTTCCCTAATGGACTGTCTGTTGTTATTTTTGCTTTCCATCCTTTGTTTTCAGTAGTTTGACTAGATGTGATCTCCTCTGTGTTTACCCTCTCTGGAGTTCGCTAAGTTTTTTGGATTTCAGGGTTGATGTCTTTCCTCAATTTGGTAAAAATATGGCTGCTATCTGTTCAGATAATTCTTCTGCTCCATTCTTTCCTCTCCTTCTAAGACTCCAATTACATATGCATCAGATCAGTGATTCTCAAAGTGAAATGTGGTATAGGGATTCTGGAATTCTTAAAGACCCTTTTAGGAGATCCACAGGATAATTTTTTTTTTTAAGAATACTCTCATAGGTCTCCAATGTAGTTTTCTAGAATCTATATGATGTGTGATATCACAAAAGATTGAATGCTGAAGCAGGTATGAGGATCTAGCTGTTTTCTATTACATTAAAGAGATTTGAAAAAAAAAGAATGTCAATGCCACTCTTCTCACTACCTTTGTTTTGGAAAATACAGGATTTTTATTCCATTTTTAAAATGTCATTTATATTAAAATGTTTTATGGGTTGTGTGCTCCCCAAAATTCATACACTGAGGTCTTAATGCCTGGTATGTGAGAATGTGACCTTACTTAGAGATAAGGTCTTTGCAGGGGCATTCAAATTAAAATGAAGCCAGTTAAGCATCCCACTCATGATTTCAGTTCAGTCATGATCTCAGGGTCATGGGATCGAGCCCCATGTTGGGCTCCTCATTTGGTGGGGAGACTGCTGGAGATTCTCTCTCTCCCTCACCCTCTCTCAAATAAATAAATAAATCTTTTTAAAAAATAAAATATAATGAATGAGGTCTTTAGGTTGGGCCCCAATCCAATATTACTAGTGTCCTTATAGGAAAGGGGAAATTTGGAGACACACACACACACAGAAAGCATGCCATGTGAAGATGAAGGCACGGACTGGAGTGATGCTTCTACAAGCCAAGAAATGAGAAAGATTGAAGCAAACCACCAGAAGCTATGGGAGAGTCATTGAACAGATTCTTCCTTCTAATCCTCAGAAGGAACAAGCCCTGCTGACTCCTTGATCTCAGATTTCTAGCCTCCAGAACAATGAGGTAATATATTTCTGTTGTTTAAACCACTTAGTTTATGGTATTTTGCTACAGCAGTGCTGGGAAACTAATACAATATGTATTTGGCTTATTGTTATTTTATTAATAAATGTTTCTAAAATTCCTCAGTTTTAATTTCAAACACAGTAAATATAGATAGATATGACTCACATAAGCAAAAACCCTTTAGGGTTCTCAGTAATTTTAAGAGCATAAAGGGCTCCTAAGACCAAAAAGTTGAAGAGCTATTGTGTTGGACCATGATCACACTGTCCCACAAATCTCAGATGATTTGTTCTTCTTTCTTTCTTTTTTATTCCCACTTCAGTTTTTCTCTGTATTTCAGTTAGGATAATTTCTACTGACCCATTTTCATCAATGAATTTTTCAATTTGGTTCTTTTTAAAAATCTGTTCCTCTGCTGAGGTTCTTCATCCACTTACTTGTTTGACCTATATTTTCTTGTAAATTCTTTCACATAATTATAATAGTTTTGTTAAATGCTTAGTTAATTCCTTCATCTGAGTCCCCTGTGGGTTTCTTTACATAGACATTTTTTTTTCCTTGACTATGGGTCTTACTTTCCTGCTTTTTTGCATGTCTAGTAATTTTTTATTTATTTTATATTGGCCATTGGATGATGCTGTGAAAGGATTCTGGATTCTGTTATCTTCCTTTAAAGAGTGTTGAGTTTCATTCAGGTAGGCAGTTAAGTTGTTCACAATGATCCTGTGAGATCTTGGTTTTAGGCTTTCTTAAGGTAGGTCTATTTTAGTTTTGCCCTTAGTCCTAAGACATAGTCCTTAACATTGCGCTATATCTTTACACTAAGGCCTGCACCTTCTGGGATTCCAATGGAAAGCTCCAGGTATTTAATAAATCCCTTGGTGAGAGTTACCAAACTCTGTTGAACTCTCCACTCAGCTTTTTAGCCTTCCAAATGATGCTTAGAGGAAAGCATCCTTGGCGTTGTGTGCAGTTTAGGAGTCACTCAAGAATTTAAGGGGAATTTTTATGCAGATTTTGAGGCTTATCCCTATTTGGCTATCTCCAAATTCCTGGATTTTTTCCTCTCAATTTAGAACCATTCTGAAAGCCCTGAAACTCTGGCCTCTGTATCATCAGCCCATTATCTTCTTGAGATCTATTCCTCTGTGCAAGCTTATAACTATTATTGGCAAGAGGATTAGTCTGATACAAGCTACCTGTATAGGTACTTGGAACAGGTATTTAGGTTATAACAGCAAACAATAATGTAATAAGACATTACATTAATGTCTTTAATGTGTTTGGGTCTTTAAAATCTTCCAATTTTAAGTGCTTTTTATTTTTTTTTTATTGAGGTATAACTGACAGACAATATTATATTAGTTCCAGGCACGTAACATATTAAGTTGACATTTGTACACATTGTGAGCTTTTTACTTTTAAAATGGTATATATACCCATATTTCTCTGGAACTCCACATGGCCCTGCTAATCAGCCCTCAGGATTTTACATGGATGACCCTAAGGAGTCAGAAAGTAAGCTAGGACATCTCTTTACCTAGTGAGAGTCTTACACTACCTATTCTCAATTAAATGCCTTCCACAGCTCCAGAATTCTACAGTTAGTATTAGAGTAGTAATTGTACCCTCCCATCCACTTCCTTATATTAGGCTGGACACATCCCTGTAGCTACTGTCTTATTACTTTTCAGGACTGGTAGGCAGAGATATGGGTGGACAGAGCACTCAATATATAGAGTTCCTGGGATTGTACTGATTTACATACAGTCACACAACCAGATCCATGACATCAGTATGTACACAGGGGCACAGATTCACAAAGATGCACACACTGATGAGCACTGTGGGTACACACAAACACACTGAGTGACATACAGGGGAACATATACAGCACACACACACAGTCATACCGGACCTGTGATACCCACCCAGACACAAACCAGAATTGTGAGAGAACAGCTACACACACACACAGGTTTACAGATTCACCTGCACAAGACATGTACACACTGCCACACACAGATTGAAACAAACTCACCCAGATCTGTAAGACCCAAAGAGACACAAATGCATACACAGGTTCACCCATACACAAGGACTCACACATTAACCAGCCCTGTAATGCAACAACCACTCACCACTATACTCACAGATTCACAACCAGATTTGTGAGATTCAGGTGCACACAGTCTCACACCCACCCAGGTTCCTGCCCTGGGGTTGCTATTGAACACTGTTCCTGCACTGGGCACAGCTCACTGGTATCAAGTGAGAACCTATGGCCAAGCCTACCTGGAGTCAAGGTGGGGGTCTGAAAAGTTTCCAGTCTGCACCCCCTCTGCCCCACCGCAAACTAGCTCTCAGTAGGAAGCTGTTAATGAACTTTCTTCTGGAGTTACTCACCTGGGTTCAAAGCCTGGCTCCACCTTTTCCTGGCTGTGTGACCTGGGACGCTGTGCCAAATTTTCTCCATCTCTAAAACGAAGGTAATAATAGTTACCAAACCTCACTGAGCTGTTGTGAATGTTCTGCCAGAAAATACATGTTAAGCCCTTTACACGTAGGAAACATTCCTAGCGTGTGGCTGGTGCTCAATAAATATTGGTGTCATCACTGTGTTAAAGTCAGAGCACTGGGCCAGAGCTGCGCCACGGCCCAGACCCTCCTTCCCAAGGTCCTGAGGGTGGGCAGCCACGAGGCCTGACAAATGGGCTGGAGCGCTCCCTCTTCCAGGATCCCAGGTACACGCCCACCACCTCTAGGGTCCCTAAGGCCAAAGGCCTGAGTCTTTTCGCAAAGATGAATGTGGGTCGGAGCCCACCCGACTCCACCTGAAGACATGGACGAACTGACAAGATAATTCCACGTTTCTGGGCACCGCTCTCTCGCACCCTCAATGAGACACAAACACCGCCCCACATAAACACACACTCACCGAGATAAAAGCGCCTTTTGCAGCAATGGGTGGGAAGGAGAGTGGGGCGGGGCCAGAGCCCTTGGTCGCTGGGCCGGGAACTACATTTCCCAGAAGGCTCTGCTATAAGCCCGTTTGCGTTAGGGCGCAAAGGCTGCTCCGGGACCCTGATGCCCTCTGGGAAATGGAGTCCGCGCCAGCGCGACGCAAAGACTACCGGAAGTTGTAGTTCGCGCCCGTCCGCGCAGGCGCACTTGCCCGCAGCGGTCGCCGGGTTTCTCCTTTGTGGCAGTCGGTGGGCTTTTGTGGGAGGCCGGTCCTCTTGCTCGCGCATCCTTCCGACCGTCGGTCGGTCTGTCCGTCCGCCGCGGGGCCTGTCTGACGGACGCGCTCTGCGGCCCCTGGCTCCTGACGGCTGAGCCTGAGGCCGGCCCTGGTCCCGGCCCGCAGTGTCCCGGGCGGAGTGTGTGACGGGCTGCGTGGGGCGGGGGTGATGGGGCGTGAGCTCAGCCTGGGGTGTGGGGCGCTTGCTGAGCCTGCCTGACCCCGACCTTGGCGGTGGGGGGTCCGCAGGGGGCTTCGCGTGCGTGACCGTGCAGCGGGGACTGCGTGTGCGACCCCCCGGGGCCCCCCTGCAGGCTGTCCCTGAGCCCCAGGAGCAGGACCCGCGCCTCTGGGCCTGGCCTGGGGCCCAGGAGGCTGCAGAGCTGCCCACGCTTCCGGGGAACGCTGCCGAGGGGCGCCATGGAGACCCCTGCCCCGAAGCCCCAGGAGACAGGTACAGTTGGCTCTTCTAGTCAGTGGGTCTGTGGACTTGCGCTTGAGGAGACTGACACTCAGAGAGATCAGGCTAGTTTCCCAGAAGCACCTAACAAAGTCAGGCCTTCTGCATTCATACCGTGCACACCCGTTTGTTTCCACTTCTCAGGCATGCTGAAGAGGAAGGGAATGGCAGTTTTTCCTTCAGATTGTGCCAGATGTTGGGGCTCGCTCCCCACCTCACCTGCAGGGGACGGTTCCTGACTCCTCTGATCCTCCCCCATGCCAGGGGTGGAGTGGGCTTTAGCTCAGCCATGCACCTGGTAGCTATGGGAAGAACAGCCCCTTTGACTCATTTCTCCTCCCCAGCTCTGCCCTCTCAGGAGCCTGCTCTTACCCTCAAAAAGAATCCAGAGGATAAATTGGGTCAGGGTCTCCCGGAAGCCAGTTCCGAGGTGAGTGGTTGTCTTTTCTTCCTTCTGAACATCTCTTTCTTTATGAAGAGGGTTGGCATTTTTCCCCTGCCCAGGATTTTCAGTCATCCAAAGACACACACACACACCCCAACCTGGGGGCCTGCTCTCCCTTCCTCAGGAAGCTCTGGGCATGGGAACAGCTCCAATTGAACAGAGTCCAGGTGTGCCCTTGAAATGAGTGCCCCTTGCAGCCTCGTTCAGCCCAATGGGTGGGTCGTTTGCCCAGGACCTGTTTGTGAAACACTATACCAGGAGCTGTGAGGAATGGTTTTAGTGGAACCCGAGCATGTAGATGACAGCTCACATGAGATCACTTCAGTCATCTCCACATGCAGGCCTAGGGGATGGTCCTCATCTGGGGGAGTTTTCTGGGATGGAATCAGGTAGGGGGGTGTGAAAGCACTGAAGGAAGGCTGCGTTGCAGCACCAGGGTAAGAGTGATGGGGGGGGGGGGGCGCCTGGGTGGCTCAGATGGTTAAGCGTCTGCCTTCGGCTCAGGTCATGATCTCAGGGTCCTGGGATCGAGTCCCGCATCGGGCTCCCTGCTCCTTGGGAGCCTGCTTCTCCCTCTGCCTCTCTCTCTCTGTCTCTAATGAATAAATAAATAAAATCTTTTAAAAATTTTAAAAAAAGAATTAAAAAAAAAAAGAGTGACGGTAGGGGGTGCATCCCTGTGTGCTTTTCCTCTCTGCGGGGACCCTGAAATGGGGCTGTCAAGGAAGAACCTGGAGTTTTAGAGGATCTGGGAGCTCAATAAGGAATTGGCCTTGGGGCCACTTCTGCAGCTAAGTAGGGCCCAAATCCCTCCTTTCACAGACTTTGGGTCTTGTTTCTCATTTTGTTCTACCACCTAAACCACCCCCATCCCTCACAGTATTTAAAAGGGTACAGCTGATAAGGAGAGCTTGCAGTAGTGAAAAAGTCTGGAGGGTTGAGGGTCCCTTTGACTCAGGATTTAGTGATTCTGTTAACCTCCCACTTGAAAGGGGTCTGATTACAGAAAAAAAAATAACTATAAAACATTATGAGATGTGCCTAGCTTCTGTAATGTGTTAGAATGGTCTGTCATTCTATAATAAACTCAAGAGACATGACAGTCAAATGTAGTACATGATCTTTGACAGGCCACAGGTCCAAAAAACTCAATCAAAGGCAGTTTGGGACAATTGAGGAAATTTGAAAATGGATTTATCTTAGATCATATGTTATCAGCATTGAATTTTTTGGGTGTGATGATCCCACTGTAATTGGATAAGAGAATATACTTAGGATATACAAGGTGAAGCCCATAGTGTGAGATGTCATGATGTCTGCAACTTACCTTCAAATGATTCAGCAAAAAGTACATGTGCGTGTCTGTGTGTGTGCTTGTAAGTGACTACCTCAAGGTGGTATCCTTCTTGTGCATAGGTGTTATTCCTAAAAGATCAGCTTCTTAGATCCTTGAGTAACTGGTCCTCCTCTCCTGAGTATTCTTCTCTCCTGGCAGCCCCACTCAGACTCACAGTCAAGTGTTTTGCTCTCCTGGGACATCCCAGACAATCTGTTCTGATTTCCCCACTAGTTTCATTACCACACATCTGCATTTGACTCCCATACCTGCCCCCTGGAATTTGTTTCCTATCCTACAGAATGAAGATTCACGGGACATGGGCTTCTCCCAGTGGGAATAATCCCCAGACAGGCCTGTGCAAGGCTCAGATCCTACTCTGCCCTTCCCAGTTGACACCCCCACACAGAAGCCATGTAGCCTCTGATAGTCCCCTTTCTCCAGCACCACATTCTGACATCTCTGGAGCTTTGTTTCTGCCCATGTTTTTCCTTTCCTCTGCCAACACCATGACCATTATGCTTCATTCCTGCATGCCTCAGTTATGGGTATGTTCTCAGCATGTGTCATCACCCCCACCTTCTCATCTCCCTGAAATCCAGTGGGTTTTTTGCATCACATTTATTGAGGTGTAATTTATATACAGTAAAGTCCTCTGATTTTAAGTAGAGGATTTGATGAGTTTTGGCAAATGTGTACAGTTGTGTGACCAGCACCACAATCATAAACTAGAATGTTTCCATCACCCAAAAAGTTCCTTCATGCCCCTTTGCAGTCTGTCCTCTCCCCCTGCTCCTTGGCAACCACAATTTTGTCTTTTTAAGAATTTCTTATGGAAATATATAGTATGTAGTCTTTGGTTTCTTTTTAAAAAGATTTTATTTTTAAGTAATCTCTACACCCAATGTGGGGCTCAAACCCACAGCCCTGAGATCAAGAGTTGCTCTACTAACTGAACCAGCTAGGTGCCCCACATAGTCTTTGGTTTCTAATTTCACTTAGCATAATGCTTTTGAGTTCATGTCTTTATGTGAATCAGTAGTTTGTTCCTTTTTATTGCTGAGTAATATACCATTTGTATTAGGTTACAAGGGCTGCCATAGCAATTTATTGTCTCAATTCTGGAAGTTCAAGATCAGGATGTCAGCAGGGTTGGTTTCTTCTGAGGCCTCTCTTCTTGGTTTGTGAAGGTACCTTCTCCCAGTGTCTTCACATGGTCTTTCTCTGTACATGTCTGGCTCCCAAATTTCCTTTTTTTTATAAGGACACCAGCCCTATTGGATGATGACTTACCATAATGACCTCATTTTACCTTAATTATCTCTTTAAAGACCCTATCTCCAAATATAGTCATTTTTCTGAGGTACTGTGGGCTAGGGCTTCAACATATGAATTTGGAGGGATCACAACTCAGCACAAAACACCATTGTATGGGTATTTACAATTTGTTCATTAGGGGACATTAGGTTGTTTCCAAGTTTTGGCTATTACGAGTAAAACCTGCTATAAATGTTTGAGTACAAATATAGACATGTGCTTTAATTTCTCTTGAATGAACATCTGAGTGGAATTGCTGAGTCAGATAATAAATGTATATTTAATTATCAATGTTATCGGTTATTTCCAAGAGCCATCTTTTGGTTTCATTGATTTTCTCTATTGCTTTTCTATTCCTATTTCATTTATTTCAGATCCTTATTATTTCTTTCCTTTACTTATTTTGGTTTCTTAAAATTGAAACTCAGATATTGATCTGACACCTTTCTTCTTTTCTCATATAGCATCCAATGCTATAAATTTCCCTCTAAGCACTGCCTTAGCTACATCCCACAAGTTTTATATTGTATTTTCACTTTTATTCAGTTCAAAATAGTTCCAGTTTCTGTTATGATTTCTTCTTCAACCATGTGTATTTAGGAATGTGTTGTTTAATTTCCAAATATTTGGAGGATCTTTTCCTAGATATCTTTCTATTATAGATTTCTTTTTTTTTTTTTTTAAGATTTTATTTATTTATTTGACAGAGAGAGACACAGCAAGAGAGGGAACACAAGCAGGGGGAGTGGGAGAGGGAGAAGCAGGAAGCCAGATGCGGGGCTTGATCCCAGGACCCTGGGATCATGACCTGAGCCAAAGGCAGACACTTAATGACTGATCCATCCAGGTGCCTCTCTATTATAGATTTCTAATTTAATTCTGTTGTAGTTAGAGAAGGAACTTTGTATGATTTGCCTTTTTTCAAATTTACTAATATTTATTTTATTGCCCAGGATGTGTTTTATCTTGGTAAATGTTCTGTATGCACTTGAAAAGAATGTGCCTTCTGCTTTTGTCAGCTAGAGTGTTCTGTGAATGTCAATTAAGTCCTTAAGTCGAATGATGTGTTAATCAATTGTTCTGTATCCTTACATATTTTCTACTTAGGTGTTCTATCAATTATTGAGAGAGATTACTGTTGCAATTCCAAGTATAATAGTGGATTTGTCTGTTTTTCTTCAGTCCTATCAAGTTTTTGCTTTATGTATTTTGAAGCTCTGTTAGTAGGAACATGTATATTTAAGATTGTTGTGAGCTCTTAATGAATTGATGTTGTGGTAATGATCATTACATAATCATGTAATGATTATTATATAACACCTCTCTTTGTCTCTGATGATGTCCTTTGCTTTGAAATCTGCTTTGTCTAATGTTAATATTGCCACTTCAGCTTTCTTTTGATTGGTATTTGCAGATTATATCTTTTCTCATTCTTCCCCTTTTAATCTACCTTTCTCTTTGTTTTTAAAGTGGGTTTCTATAGTTGATGTATGTATGGTTGGGTCTTAATTTTTAAATTCAATTTGACAATCTCTAATTTCCAATTGGAGTATTAAGACCATTCACATTTAATGTAAGTATTGATATGGATGGATTTACATCTGCCATTTTGTTATTTGTGTTCTATATGTCTTGTGTTTCTTTTGTTTCTGTTTCTCCCTTAACGCATTCTTTTGAGGTAAACAAATACTGTTTTAGTATACTCTTCTTTTTTTTTAATTTTTTTTTAAGATTTTTAAAATTTATTTATTTGACAGAGAGAGAGACAGTGAGAGAGGGAACACAAGCAGGAGGAATGGGAATGGGAGAGGAAGAAGCAGGCTCCCCGCGGAGCAGGGAGCCTGATGCGGGGCTCGATCCCAGGACCCTGGGATCATGACCCGAGCCGAAGGGCAGACGCTTAACGACTGAGCCACTTATTGGCTAATGCCATCCACTATTGGCACCTGCCATCCACCAGCCCCTCAGATGAGCGCCCCTGTTTTAGTATACTCTTAATTTTTCTGATTTTATTAACTTGTTTTTTCCTTTTAGTTACTTTATTGGATGCTGGAGTGAATTTTACTTTGTTGAGTATTGGCTTTTTTTGGAATTCCTTAAATATTTAAGGAATTTGTTCTGGGATGCATTGAAATTACTTAGTATCAGTTGGATCATTTCAAAGCTTCTTCTTTAGGTTTTGTTCAGGTGGGGCCAGAGGGGGCGCCTGAGTGGCTCAGTTGGTTAAGTGTCTGCCTTTGCGGGTCAGGTCATGATCCCAGGGTCCTTGGATTGAGCCCCACATCGGGCTCCCTGCTCACAGGGAGCTTGCTTCTCCCTCTGCCTGCCACTC